TTTATAACTAAGGTGTTTAAAAATGTGTAACTCCTACACCATTAAACCCTTAAAATTAATCATGGCATTTGTGGTGTGTTAATGGTGATTAATTAGCCATTAACACGTCCGTTACGTTACGCTCCGTTTAAAATTTGTCCCGTATAATTNCGTAAAAATGGACTAATTTTAAACAACACGTAAAATTAATAAAAGAAGATTGGTTCAGTAAAATTGCAAAAATTGCAATCCTCACCATATTCTTTTATTAACGGGTTAACTCTGAGAATCAATTTCTCATTCACCCTCTACCATTTTTGGCGTATAAATTGTTAAAACATTTATCTCATTTAAGAGAACACACGTCCATTAATTAACGGTTAAAACCGTTAGTGGACCTATTGACAAATATATCCAAATTGGTCCATTTATTGCCAATTAAAAATGCCAAAAATTCCAACAATATGAATACTCTCGTGTTGTGAAGACTGCTCTCTCTCTCTCTCTTTGTGTTTGATCGATTTATTTTATCCATCATACCAGAATTTTCTTTAGTATAAATACACGAGTGGATAACCCTAGTAGAGTCATAGCCGAAGTCTCCTTCTTTAGTATATTTAAATAAAATTCAACATTTTAAAACAAATTCAGTTATTTATAAGAGTTAATTCAAACACTGTGGAAGCTTAATAAAAATATATAATGTCATTAAAATAGTCATTCATAATTTTTAAAAACTTATCTGCATCCAGACATCCGAAATCATCACGCTGCCCTCCAAGAGTGTTCCAACTAAATCCATATATGCCGTTAAAGACAAGAAAAGACTAAACGCTTAGCTGAAAGCTGAATAAGAATATATCTAACGCCAAAATTAACTCATAGAACAACACACATTTACATACGATTACACAATATCTGAAAAATATGCAACATCATCATCCAACATCATGTTTAGCCATAATTACTTACTCCCTCTATCCATAATTAAACTTCTCACTTTTCTTTTTCATTCGTCCATAAATAAACTTCTCATTTCTATTTTAGGAATTTTTTTATGAAAGAAATGTCCTTGCTACCCTTCTTCCCATCTTCTTCCTATTTCGTCTTTCTTATTTCGTTTCCATTTTCTTTCTGCAGTTTTTTCTTTCTTCCTCTTCCTTCTTTCTTCTTCTGTTTGCATTTTCTTTCTTCATTTTTCTCTTTTATTCTTTTTCTTCTTTTTCTCTTTTTTATTCCTCTTCCTTCTTGTTTCTTCTTCGGTCCTCTGCTTCTTTCTTCTTTAATTTTCTCTTTCTTCTTCCTTCTTCTTCTTCTTCTTCTTTCTTCTTCTGTCCTCTTCTTTTATCTTCTTCATATTTTTTTGTTTCTTCTTCCTTCTTTTTCTTTCTTCTCCCGTCAACCAGATCTGATGGATTGCATCTTCTTCTTCCGTGTATGACGATATTGGGTTGCATCTTTGCCGGAGTTGGATTGTCACCCCACTACGAGATCTGACCAGATCTAGAAAATAGATCTTTGCGATGAAAGGGGGATGCAGGGGGTTGCAATGAAGAGGGGATGCAGGTTTGCGATGACGAGAGGATGCTAGGGCTTGCGACTACAGGGGGCTGGGATGGTGGGGACCTTCGGCGGTGGTGTTGAAGTGTCGACAGCGGCAGTGCGGAAGCACCTTTGTCGGCAGAGGTTGATGGTGTGCTAGATGCCAGTCGGGTGGAGAGGGTTGAAAGGTTGAGGGATAAAATAGAAAAGTCAATCTAATTTTCATTCAACATAAATTTGTGCACCGAGTCAAATCAGGAAGTTTAATTGTGGAGGGAGGGAGTATTTCAAATCTCACTTCACAACACTATACTCAACCTCCATGGCTAAAGTTCAAACTAACAGACTAGAGTTATGGACACTTGAGTGGATCTCTCAAGGCCAGTACTCAGAACCCAAAAAAGATCTTCAATGGGCGGGCTTGAGCCCGTACAAAAGTAATCCCTAACTAAGTCGCAAACCCTTGTACATATATTTTTAATCCAAGGCCACTAAGTTTGCAAGCACGGCCCACATGACCTAAATTCTTGATCTAACAATGTCCTATTGGTGTCCCAGCTATTCGATCCCATTCAAATTTGCCTAAGTATACTATGCGGGATATTCATCAATCTTAACCCATAACTCAGTAACAACACCAATAAGCTTATTTGCATCATACATATTCAATTCAATACAAACAACGACATATCGAAAGAACGAGGTTCCACCAATAATCGTCATGAGACAATCATCCTAATAGAAGAGAATATAATTACTACGGTTTATCTGCCGGACCTCATGCAGCCCGGTAGAATCCCGCATACGACACCATTGAACTCACCCCCTCGACCATTTCCACGACTACCAGAAAACCCCAAGGCAGCCCCCCCACCCCACCCTTTGGACCCTTAGGACCACCGGCGAGGCATTCCGGGCAGCGATGCAGCACAATCGGCAAAGCAGCGGCAGCCGGTTGCCAGGGCAGTGGCAACGACGCAACAATGGAAAATAGCTCAGAAAAATGTAATCCAAACTAGACAATCAACACAAACCCGAATTCAATAATTCAAGCCCAAGAACACATTCAATCAATAGGTTCAATAATCACGCTCACAAATTCAACATCAATTGCGAAACAAGTATATCAACTAATTAATCTACAAATTAATTCTAACGGTGGACATATGAACCACGACTCACCTTTAATTATCCAATTCAATTAAGAAAGATATCATCGCACAAGGAATTGGCAGCAGACAGTGGCGCGGAATGGCGATATGCAAATATGGCTTCCCGTCAAATACATCAATGTTGTCGCTACTATACAGTTGTTTTGTCGAGGCGTATTGTGCGGCATTGCAAGACAATATTACTTCGTGATTCCATCCTTTTGCACTACCAACAATAGTACTCCGTACGTATATACATGAATTAGGCTGAGGAGGGTTGTTTCTTGCTAGAAAGGTTTAGTTTTAGGCGTATAGTTTGCTAAATTTTTAGGTAGTCCTAATATCCATGTTTATTATATATATATATATACACATACACGGAGTATAAAATAAATATTTATTTTTATTAAAAAAAGAAAAAAAAAAGAAACAAGGGGGGATGGGACGATCCCAACAAGCTGTTCCAAAAAAGGAAAAGAAAAAACTACAAACAAGAGGAAAAAACCAAGACAATATGAAACAAATAGCATCTAGACAAACACTAAAAGAAAACCAGGAGTAGAGCAAAGCCTGTCTGCCCAAATGTCCAGCACTAAGGTCCGCCCAGCAGTTCTAGCCAAGCGCATGAATCAGCTCCAGAAAAGATGACAGAAATCCTGCCCATCCTTAGGGTTGATAATCGAAGCAAAACCCAGAAACAGCGCCAAGTAACAACGCCAAACCCATCCAGTGCCAAATTATTCACTTTCAATTCTAACCATTGAAAGCTTGCAAAGGGTAAAGTCAAATGTTTTATACATTTAAGAGGCCATCCAATTTCCAATGTCCTTGGTGATTCCACAACAGTGCCAAACCCATCCAGTGCCAAAGTTCACTTTCAATTCAATCAAATTTGTTCCCAAACACGCTTGGCTTTAAGATCTGTTAACCTCTTACTTCTTTGTGGAACAGAAATAAGGAACAAACAAAACTCAAAAGAAGGGTTAGAGAAATAATTATAACTGCAGGTCTATCAATAAGCATATTCAATCTCTTCATCGTAACCATAATCAGAAACTGAGTCTGCTTCTTTTTCTTCTTCATTTTCTTTTTTTGAGTTTTGGTTAGAGGTTTGCTAAGGGGTTTAGGATCTTCAATCTTGTTAGGACAACAAAGTTTGAAGAAATTGATAACCTCGTCCTCATGTGATTCTTGGGGATCTAACAAGTCTTTTTCTTCGGCCCAGCCTATCGGATTAAATTTCCTTCCTTGCTCAAGGATTTTAGCCTTGCTCCTCGTAACAATTTGTGACGGTGAGTACGTCCTTCTTCCCTTTAGTTCCTTGCGGAGATGGAGGGGGTGTTTGGAGCATCTTGAGAAGTCGATTTGTAAAGGTTTGAGCTTTGTGTCTATGAACACAAAATCCTCCCCTTCGGAGTGGGTATAGAGAATGGGACCTTCCCTGTCCTTAGTGTGATCTTCCATTGCGTTGAGGGATGGAACCAAGCTTTGGCCATTGAGATTTGAAAAGGGGTCTTCTTCCGGCTCTGTAATAACATTGGATCCTTGTTCCTTAGTGACAATATTAGCATAGGAGTATACATCAGGCACAAAGGTGGGAGCAAAAGGACTAAGGAGTTTCCGGGCCAGGGGTGGAAACTCTTCGTCTTGGTTGATGGAAAGGCTGACATTAGGAGCTGCTTCATTCTGAAAAATAACTAGTTGCTTGTTAGTTACGGCAGTGGGGTTAACAACGAAGCCCTCTAAACTTGTGAAATCAGTCTTCGCTGGGTAATAACATCCTGCCTAGTAGTAGTAGGCAGGGAAGAAGCTTCAATTCCAGTGGGAGAATGACACAGGGTTCCTGGGGATCCACACACACCTTTGAACTTTCCTCAAGGTTGGTAGCTCTCTTGGTGAATAAAGAGAGAGCCTTGGTGAAGAGTTTTGGGCCGTCAGCTAGTGAATAAAAGGGGATAGCAAGGAAAGTACTGCCCTCTCTTCTAATCTCTTGAATTTTCACAAATTTACCCCTTTTATTGATACCAATGGAAAGATAAATGGTCCTATTTTCCTCTATTTTGGATACTTCCCAACATTTAGGCTTCGAAAAAAATGGCAGACAACCTAGGATCCAATTAACAGTTTCCAAATCGAACCAAATGCAGTATCTTCTAGCTCCAAAATCAGAGATGCAGAAGTTGTGATTGTAGAAGGAATAAAAGAGCACAAATACCTTATGATGTGTCTGGAATTTGAATATGAGATTTCGGGTGGTTTCCCTTGAACACCCTTCGAATCCATTGAAGCATAACCTAGAGTCACTGTAAACGTATTGGTTGCGCTTTTCTTTAGGGAGGGGGTTCTTGAAGGGTAATCCACGCAAACAATGATGAAAGTGCGAATCCGGAAGATGAAACCTGCGATTTCTGCAGAAACCTTCGCACCAGGCATAGCGGGTAGAGAATCTGGTCCGGCTATTGAAGATTTTACGACCTGTAGGTATATCGCTGAAAGAAACGGCTGGTCGGCGGCGTTGACGGACAGCCCTAGAACCGCTGCTCCTCCTCTCTAAAAAAGCCATTATGATATATATATATATATGTATGTATGTATGTATGTATGTATATGTATGTATGTATGTATGTATTTATGTATGTATGTATATATATAATGATGGAAAACCTAGCGGCGTTCAGGAGCTTTCTTCTGCGGCGTTTACGCCGGTATCTGCCTCAACTGCATCCATTAGAGGACAGAACAGGCTATTCTCGGAAGTAGTTGTAAAGGGTGTGCAGGTTAGAGCACTGGAAGGGATCTGTGACTTTTACGAAAAACAACATATCTGAATTATCAGTGCGTTTCAAGCATGCGTTGGTGGCTACGTTCAAAACTCGCCCGCCCTTCTCTACAATGAAATCATTTATGCAGAAGCTTGGTCTCGTTGGAGATTTCGACGTCACCATCTTATCAACCAGGAGTTTCCTCTTGAATTTTCAAAGGGAGGAGGATTTTGTGAGGATATTTTTACGAAGAGTATGGAGGGTTTATGGGCAAGATATGACGATTACAAAATGGAGCCCCTCCCTATCTTCTAATGTTGATAACCCTATTCTTCCTATTTGGATTGCTTTCCCAGATTTGCCAATTCATCCGCATGATAAACGGGCTTTACATCTTTTGGCATCCTCGATTGGTCACCCCTTGCAAGTTGACTCTTGTATGTTAAATTTCTCCAGGCCCCAACTTGCACGTTGTTGTGTGGAGGTTGATATCTCTCACTTGCCTCCTGCAAAGATTCACGTCCAACATGGGGAGGAGGATATGCTCCTTGACTTCTACTATGAAAACGTACCTTCTTATTGCATGGATTGTGGGAAGATTGGCCATCCAAAGAAGAGGTGCCCACTAGGGCAAAACAGGCAAGATGTAAGGCCTAAGGATGTGAAGACAGATACTGCATGGCAAGTGGTTACTCGTAAGAAAGGGAAGGTCAAGATGGTCAAGAAGCCAGAAATGGTTTGGAAAGCAAAGCCTTATCAAACTTCCATGCATCTTGTGCAGTGGTCTGAAGGTCCGAGTGAGTCTTCCAGGGTGAGAGAGAATAGTGTGGTTGCGGACAATTTTTACTATCTCTGATCCCACTCTATTGTCTCCTTTCACGATGCACAAACTTTTTTCTCTCACACCTTTGGAGGTTAAAGAGGACTGCTTGGAAATTATTCCTTATGAGGGCTGTTTAGAGGAACTCCCAGAAGATGCAGAACCTGATGTGGGTTTCTATATGGATGGGGATGATATTGATTCAGTTTGCCATTATCTTGAAGAATTTCCTTCTTTGGCTAGCCCCTCTCCAGATCTGGTTGTATCCTCTAAGCTTTCTAAAAGCTCAAAACCAAGGGAGCGTAGCCATGCAATGGTAACACGGCGAATGGCTTCAAATAGATTTTCTGTGCTTTGTTCTCCATGATTGGTTTGTTTTGGAATATTAGGGGTGTACATTCTTCTCTTCCTCGTCTTATTTACCTTATTAAAACATATAAGTTGCAGTTTATCTCTATTTTGGAGCCTTTGGTGGATCTTGATAAAATTGAATGATATAAATTGAAACTTGGATTTTCAAAGGGTTTTTCTGCTCTTAATAACAAGCTTTGGTTTCTTTGGAAGGATTATTACCTCTCCCTTCATACTGTTAATGAAAAGTCTCAGATCCTTACTTGTGGATTCAAGCATGCTGCTTCCTCTTCATCTGTTTGGATTTCAAGCGTGTATGGTTTGCATACCACATCTGATAGAGAGGATCTCTGGATGTCTCTTAGAACTCTTTTTCCTAGGTCTGGTCCTTGGATTGTTGGGGGTGACTTTAACACTCTCGCCTCTCTCTCAGAGCACAAAGGTGCTGTTTGTCCAGATTTTGGAGGAATAGGGGATTTTGCTCAGGTTATCTCTGAGTGTGAGCTAGTGGCTCCTCATTTTCTTGGGAGTGAATTCATTTGGACTGGTAAAAGGGGTCAAGGGAGAGTCTTTAGGAGGCTTGATAGAGTCTTAGTGAATGAATCATGCCTGGATTCTTTTCCAGTAATTGAGATCAGACATCTTGGACAAGGACTTTCAGATCATAGGCCCCTTCTTTTCAAATAACTTTCCCACCATGTAGTGGGCCCTAAACCTTTCAGATTTTTGAATGTATGGTACTCACATACTTCCTTTAAGGATCTTGTTGCTAGCTCCTAGGGAAAGAGTTATCAAGGAGGGGGTATGAGGGGTCTGGCTTTTAAATTGGTTGCTCTGAAGAGGGCACTTCTTCAGTGGAACAAAGAGGTATTTGGGAATATTTTTGATGCAGTTTCTAAGGCAGAGGAAAGGCTGTTGAGGGCGGAAGATACTCTAGAAAGGGATGATTGTGAAGAAAATGTGGTGGCATGTAATTTGGCTAGGCCTTTGTTGCAACAGGCTCACAAAAAGGAGGAAATGTTCTGGTCTCAGAAAGAAAATGCTAGGTGGATTTCTCAAGGGGATGCCTCAACTGCATTCTTTCATTCTTTGGTCAAGGGAAGGATAAATAGGCTTTTCATTTCTTCTCTAAAGAATACAGTTGGCTGTATGCTTTCCTCTCAAGAAAGAATAGCTAAGGAGGTTGTTGCTCATTTTACTAGGGTTTTTTCCACTGTTCATGAGGGTGACATGGGTGAGGTACTTAGTCATATTCCCTCCTTGCTCTCTGAGCAAGATAATGATATGCTTGGGAGGCTGCCAGATGAGAAGGAGGTCAGAAAGACTATTTGGGCTTTGAATGCAAATAGTGCTGCTGGTGCTGATGGGTTTAATGGCTTCTTCTTCAGACAGGTTTAGGACATTATTAAGGTGGATGTCTCTAAAGCTGTGCAGGAGTTCTTTTTAGGTATCCCTTTGCCCAGGGTGTTTGGGAGTACTTTGATCACCCTTATTCCAAAAATTGAGGGTGCTATAACTCTGGATCAGTTTAGGCCCATTTCTCTTTCTACTTTTTTCAGCAAGATCCTTTCCAGGATACTCAGTGATAGACTGAAGAGAGTCCTTCCCACTCTTATCTCCCCAGAGCAGGCTGCTTTTCAGCAAGGAAAAAGTATTAATAAACATGTTTTGATGGTTAAAGAGATGGTGCATTTTCTATCTGCAAATACTAGAGGTGGAAATTGTATCATCAAGCTTGATCTGTCTAAGGCTTTTGACAACATATCTTGGAGTTATTTGGAGCAGGTTTTGATAAAATTTGGATTTTCCCCGAGGATTATGCAGCTTCTAATGGGAAATCTGAGATCCACCTTTTTTTCTGTCCTTGTGAATGGTCAGTCCAAGGGTTTTTTCCCCATGCAGTGTGGTGTTAAGCAGGGTGATCCCTTGTCGCCTCTTTTGTTCATTTTAGCTATGGAGGGGTTTACCAGATACTTTAATCATCTTGCTAACACTGGAAGGATCAGCTGTTTCTCATCTGGCAGGATAGTGGCTCCAAGTCATTTGTTGTATGCTGATGATATAGTCATTTTCACCAGAGCTGATTGTAGGAATCTCTTGAGGCTAAAGGCAGCTCTTTCCACTTTTGGGATGGCATCTGGTTAGGCTATTAACTTTAATAAAAGTCAGGTGATTGTTCATGATAAGATGAGGCAGGAACATAGGGCTAAGATTAAAAGTATACTTGGCATTAGATGTACCACCAGAGAGTTTACTTATCTGGGGTCTACTGTTGTGAGAGGAAAGTTGAGGAAAGCTCACTGCCAAGCACTGATCCAAAAGTTTGAGAGAAGAATTGCGCCCTGGTATAGTAGGAAGCTTAACCAGATGGGGAGGCTTATTTTGATTAAGCATGTTCTCTCTTCCATTCCTTTGCATATCTTGGCGGTTCAGGAACTACCTAAGTCTGTCATTAAGTGTCTTCATAGGATGATGTCTAATTTTTTCTGGGGGGCTAAGGATGAGGGCCACAAGTATCATTGGAGGAAATGGGAAAAGCTTTGTTTCCTCTTGCTGGAGGGTGGATTAGGGGTACGGGATCTTGGCCATTGTCAAAGGGCTGCTGCCATGGATTTATGGTGGAAGGTTCAGCAGGGTGGAACCATTTGGAGGACTTTTATGCACCGGAAGTACTTCAGGGGTGGGTCCTTCACTCCTAAGCTATATGATTCTCCTACTTGGAAGTCTATCTGCAAGGCTCACTCTTTTATATCACCTTATTGCACCTCATCACAAGGCAGGATTGTATGGGCTGATGGAGCATACTCTTTTGGCAAGGTTTATTACCATTCTTTTGACCATAAGCCCAAACAGATCTCTTGCTCATATATTTGGGATAACAGGAACATAAGTAGGATGAGCCTATTTCTTTGGAGGGTTGTCAACAAACTACTGCCTTTACCATGTCATTTACAGAAATTGCAGGTCTTGGTGGACGCTACCTGCCCTTTTTGCAAGGAGAGTAATGTGGATGATCATCACGTTTTTGTTGGAATGCATGAGTTCAACCCTTTATGTGTTGTTAAGTGTTGACTCACAGGTTTTGATAATTGACGAACACAATTTATTCAAGTCAAGATCAAAGTGCTACAACGACAAACACGAAGACTTGAAGTGCCATTCCTTGAATTATTCAAGAAGGTGCACAGGATTTTATTGAAGTCCGAGACGCATTCGTAGCGCCTAACGGAGGACTCGGAGGAGTAGAAGATTTCCGAAGACTTTTATTTATTTGAGTCGTAGGAATTTTTGTAAGGATGACAAAAATATCTTCTCTCCAAAATTGTTTTTATGGGAGTTAAAATAAAAATTATATTTATTTTTTGAGTCAGTTGAAAAATCTTTTTAACTGTTCAAAATAGTTTTATTGAGTCAAGTACAAAAAGTGTGTCAAACATTTATCAAATGTTTATTTTGATATTATAAAATATTTTTGGTAAGCAAAAATATTTTATTCAAATAATTTTCGTGTACATCGTTTGACACACAAAATAATTTTTGGACTCACTTTTACTCCCTTATTCAAATTCATTGAATAAGAGGAGGAGCGTTCTCTGATTCCCGTTGTCTCAAACAACGAGTGTTACGCCAATTTGCTCTCCATCGCAACTGGCTTGGGCCCTTTGTGTTTTGCCCATTATTTCTTTTGGTAATCGATTATATTTCTCTGTTTAATCGATTAACTGTCGTTTGCATT